TTGGACTCGGTGGTCCGTCTAGTGGAATACAGACGCTCGCAGAGTTGATTTCAGTGGATGTCGAGTGGATGGAATGCTCAGAAGCAGTGTGCAACCTTATGAATCTTCAAACAGCCTGTACAAAGGCAAGATTTAGTGGACTTAAACTAGCCAGAAAATTAAAAATTTAGTGATTGAATTTTTTTGCCTTTTGAGACATAAATAGACCGTGTGTGTTATGTACTACCGGATTGAAGCCCATTCAGAAAAATACCGCGTTGTAGAGAGGTTTGAAGGATTAGAGGAATGGTACCACCAAAGTAGTCAAAACTAGAGATAGTTTAGGAAACAAATGAACTCATTAAAAACCCTTTCAATCGACATTTTGCTCCCGAAACCGCAGTACCTCTCGTCCTATCGCGTGATTTACGCAAAAAAATCGGTGTGGCGCGACACGATGCGATGCGATGCGATGCGCGGTGGTAATGGGAAACGGGTGGGTAAATTTGGTTGGCGCCAGCTTACACTGCGACAGCTGTTGGGGTCCCTCACACGGTGTTTGTATGTTGCCCTCGCTCCTCCCCACTACCCTCCCCCCCTCACTCCTCTCGTTCCTTCCTCCGCCCCTCCATAAATCGAAGGCATGCACACACACGTCGGAGCTCGGGCCTTGGCAAACCAGATCTTGGATATTGGAGGGTGGGGGAGGATGGAAAACATGTACATATGGTTAACCGAAACCTCAACTTCATTAGCATTGCAAGGGCATGGGTGATTTGGGTTGACTTTTAAAAGAGGAGAGCGTTGGCATTAGTGAAATGCATCACAGTCGGCGCATTAATGTGGTGCCCATTATAATATGGACGTGCAATAAACGTGAAGGAAGATGAAAAAATAAGAAATTAAAAATTGACTCTCCAGATTTTCAGACCCAGCAACTCCTTCAATGTGCTCAGCTAAAAGAAGAGAGGAGGTGTGAGTGGCAAATTTCATCAAAATTGGTCTCCTCTTAGTGATTTGTTTGGCCCGGGACTAGTATAACCAAGAAAACAGAAACAGTGACTTTATTTTCACCTGCCTCGAACTAAAATTCATTAACTTATAAAGAACCAAATTTAAATTTGTTAGAGGAAAGAAATTAGAGTCTGTAGCTAAGGTGGTTTCATAGTTTTTTCCTCAGCCATACTCCAACAGCTAAGGTTTCGTATCCCCAAGGGGGAAAAACAGAGATGCAGAAACGGATAGTCAGCCAAAGTCATATTGTAAAACCAAGTGAAGCATTTTGATGGAAATAAACAACTAATTTAGGACCAAATTTACAGAGGTAAGGTGAAAACACTTTGGTGGTGCCACTTTTTACCCTGCACAAACATGCCCAATGGTCAAACCATTGACAGTTGTAGTAGCAACAACTACAAAAGCAGCTGATAGGAACCAGATGATGGCATTCCTGGCGCCAATTTTGACAGGCCTAATGAATAAACCGCACTTTGTGAACCCCTTCTACCCAACTCCTCCTCTCTACTCCTTTTGGGTAGTGATGTGGGTGTGCCTTGTCGACTCCTTTTATACACCCTCACGCTAGTACTTAACCATATTGTGGAATAGGGATTAGTATATGCGGCCTCTCAAGTAAATTAAATAAAATATCACTAATAGCATTACGTTTATGAGTAAATTATATCTTTTCAAAGGTCTTTTGTAACATAAATGAGTCCTTACGTTGGACTTAAACTTCTTCTAGCTCGGGATTAAGAACAGCAGAGGTGAGTGATGGTGGTTGTGCATTGACGCTAAACTGGTAGTGGTAAACGCAGCTGATAGAAAATGGCTGATGGTTTTTCTGGCGCCAATTTTGACAGGGCTAATGAATAAACTGAACTTTTTACACTCCCCACCCGTTCGACAGCGGTGGGGCCTTACCCGTGTGCCATAAGTCCCCCACATACACACGCAGGAGGACATAAAATGAATGGCTGGCTGGCGGTCTGGCTGAGAGGTGGGGTGGCGTGGGGTGGGGTGGGGATGGGGGAGAGGGGGCACAAGGAGACGTTGTGAGTGGGCTGACATGAAGGCGTGTGGGCTGTTTAATTAAGCACACACTGCCCTACAAGCTTGTGGGTTTGGGTTCACGGTGTTAGGCCCAACTAAATTTACCTGCACACGTGGGCCACGAATGCTTGCGGTTTGCCTAAATGACATCGCATTTTTGAGTTTTAAAGTAAGAATTATTGTCCTCCTCTAACTCAATTTTTTGTTTTGAATTGAGAAATGCTCTGCTTTTTGTCGATATACATCCAGTAGCAGTTTAGCTCTCTGTTTCGTAAACGCTCTGCAAGCGGTTCTCCCAGCTGAAGGCTTTTCTTCGGCTGGAGTAGGTGAGTGGAGCGTACCTTACCCATTCAAGCAAAGACAGTTAGGTTCATGCCGAGATTTACATTTCCGTTTGTTTCACTTGATATTATTTGACTACTACTTGGCTGTACATCGGACAGGTGTACAGGTTGGAGGCATTTGAAAATATCCGAAAGGTATAGGGAGGAACGTTGGCTAAGGTGCCTACTTTGTCGTCTCTTAGAGACTACCCTTGAAATCCTCTCTGCGTAGGATAGACTTAAATCCACTATCTTGGAGCTGTTGGAATGCAACTCCTTTCATCTTCACTCCTCTGCCTCAACGCAATGCAAAACGGTTGACACACATCATTAACGTTGTGACTGCCACCAAGGGTGAAAAGCAATGCCACTACCAGAAATAATTATTTCTAGCTTACCATTGCTTATTACCCACATCAGCGACTCACCCAATTTGCTCAGACAGAGACAACAGAATGGACATAATTGAGACTAAATAGGCAAACTCTGCACCTCTCAGGTGAAGATGTCATTACAGTGGATGCACTTGATGATTTTGTTTGCCTTGAAGGAGGCGGATTCGGACTGACCGATAACGACAAGTCCACATTCAATCCGAGGGACATTTGTTGGGGCAAAATGTAAGACCGCATCGCAGTTACTTTAAGGGTAATACACTTTTGGTTAGGTTTAGGGACAATGTTATTGTTTGTTAATACGATGAGCTTAGCGGCTTGTGCAGGCTTCAGCCGTAAAAGGCATCAAATTCAACACAAAATATTTGAGTTTACGCCAGCTAGAGGAAAAGCGCTAGAGGGAAGCAAACAATTTTTTTTGCTAACAGAGCTTTAGACTCACAAAAGACTATAAGTTTTTAGCAT